TTTGGCTTTTCCCCTGCAGTCCAGAGGTTGTCACTGCCCCAGGCATCATGTACAAGGCAGGAAGAAGGGTAAATTGATGTCAGCAGCTGTCTGTTCTCTTTCTTAGGAAAACAAAGGTTTTCCCAGAACACACTTACCAGTGTTTTACTTCTCTTGACCTGAGTCAGGTCACTTGGCCACTACCAGCTTCAAAACAGGCTAATGAAGTGAGTGGTGAGAGAGGACTACTGGAATTGCTCAGCAAACCAACAGTATCTACAACTGTGAAAGTGGCTATCCATGTCCAAGGAAAACATAAATCACTTTCCCAAAAGATTTACAAAATATACTTAAAAAACTTAAAAATCTTATGTGAAGCTTAAATAAGATTAGAAATTCAGAAACTGTACAAGAATAGATGGACATATTTAAACATGTAAAAAATAAAATTATGTGAACAGGAAAACATATACAAAGTCAAGAAATAAGCAATGGTTTTTTTTTTTAAAGGAATTACTACCTTTAACGTATAAAAAGCTGTTACAAATTGACAAGACAAACAATCCAAAAAGAAAAATATGAATAAATGGTTTCTAAAGGCAACCTATAGACTAGCAAATTAAATGTCCAAGAAACATTTAAAGAGACATATTAACTGGTAAATTAAAATAAATAAAATTAGGTATCACTTTGAGATCACAAAGCTTCTCAAAGAGTGACAGCTACTTTTAGCAGAGGGGTGGGGTACACTTATCCACGAACATTGGAAATATGAAATGCTGCAGTCTTATGTCAAAGAAATCTGGCAACTTCCACTAAAATAAGAAAACACAATTCAATCCATCAATCTCACTGCTAGAAGTTATGTTACAGAAAAAAGAAAGCTCCAGTAGGTAAGGGAAAATTATGTCTGTCCACTAACCCATCATGCTATGCCACTTCTTGAGGATGGGTATCAGATTTTTTACTAGTGACAAAAATTTAAATAAACAATGGCAAAGTGTTTGAACAAATTATGGCATGTCCACACAATGGACTCTTTTCAGCTAGTTATAAGTTTCTGTTGAGTGCAAAACATGCAAAAATGTGTATATAATCTGACTTTAAGACAATAAAAACATAAACTCATATACATGTACACAGATAACATATTACTGTGTCAGTATGTGATTGTGAGTAAAAAGAAAAACATGAAGTTGATTAGCATTGCTTATCTGTTGACAGACCGTTGGTGTGGCTGGAGTTGCTATGACAGTGGAGAAAGTACAAAATTCGAGATAAAATATACAAGTCACATTTATACAGTCATGCATCACTTAAGGATGAGGATACATTCCGAGAAATGTGTCATTAGGCAATTTTGTCCTTGTGTGAACATCGTAGAGTGTACTTACATAAACCTAGATGGTATAGCCTACTACACACCTAGACTATAGGGGACCACCATCGGTATGTGCAGTCAGTCACTGACCAAAACGTTGTTATGCATTGCATGACTGTACAGTTTTACATGTGTGCACACATGCGTGTTTAAATATATATTTAATTAAAAGAAAGGTAATTGTTAGACTGGTCTCTTTCTCCCCAGGATTCTAGAGACATGGGCATAAAATTAAACCAATAAACAAAACGCATTCTAGTTCTCATGGAATTTGCTTCTATAAGACTTTTTCCACTGTATCAAATTTATAGTTTCCTCCCAGCATGAATTTTATGACATTTTAAAGAAAATAATGTATTCTTAGAAGACTTATTCTTCTCAATTTTTATCTGATGTCAAGTAAGGTGTAACTCATGGACAAAGACTTTTTGACATTCAAAATATAATACACACTATACAATAATCCTAGGGCTTCTCTGTAATATGAGTAATTTATAACTGGTTCTGACTTTTGTGAGACTTTCTCACTTTCAGGAAATATACAATTTCACTTGTGTATAAATACTGAAGAATACTGAAAACTGATTTCTAAATGAAGCTATTCTCACATGAAGTGCATTTATTTTGTCTCCTTCTAGCAGAAATTTTCTGGTAATTTCCAGGTGAAGCGTTTCCGGTCACTTCTTTTATAAGTTTTTATCTCCAAAATGAGTTTCTGATGTATAATAAGACTTGACCTGTTGTTTCTCTCATGTGTGAATTTCCTGATGTTCAGGGAGTTGACTTTTCAGTGGATGATTTTCTACACAGTATTCATCACGTTTCTCTCCAGCATGAATTCTCTGCTATGTACTATGTACTATGATTTGTGAACAAAGCGCTACCTACGTTTAGTAAGACAGAAAATTACTCTCCCCTATGAATTGTCTAATGTATAATTAAATGTTGGTTTGAGTGAAAGTTTTCTTACATTTACTGAATGCACAGAATGAGATTCCTTTTTTAAAACTTAAAGTGTATTGTTTATTTAAAAATTTAGATTGTAAAACTTTTAAAATAGTTTTGTTATAAATACAAATGAACTGTATTACAGTGCTGGCATAAAAAGATACAGCTAACTCACACTACTTTCCCTAGTAAAGTCTACACCCCACATACCTCTGATCTATACTGACCTTGGAGTTCAACATAGTTAAGATTTAGCTCTCCCATTCTGCTCATAATTTCCATCATCCATTCCTCGATCAACTCCCAAGAGCCCCTTGAGATACACGGAGGCTCACAAAAGAAAGTCTTCCTTTCTCCTAGAGATTAATACTGTGTTGACAACAGGTAAAGTACCTCTTTTGTCTTTTTTCGGCTTGGTAACATGGAATTGTATTTTTTTTAATGTGCCTGAGTATAGAAAGGTTGAAAATCACTATCTTAGTAATCCTAATAAATTAATCTTTGAAATTCTTACTTTCAAACTCCTGGGCCCTTTGACTAGTCTTTCATTAACTTCATTTTCTATTAATTATCCAAAGGAAACAAACATACTATTAAAGAGGAAACTTGAGAGGTTCTTAGTCAATCTCCTCCTTTTGCTCAACTTTGGCAGCTACCATAATAAAATTTGACACTACCAGAAGTAATTTTCTCTTATGTATCAAAGTTTATAAGGTCTTTAACAAAAGAATAAATGTCTTAACTTTTAGCAATAAAAATTGGGAATAAAGTATATGTTGCAAACCAGAGCATTTTCATTATTTTTTAGTTTGGAGAGTTTTGGTAATTTAAAAAATATATTTCTGGGAGCTGGCCCTGTGCCATAGTGGTTAAGTTTAGTGTGCTCTGCTTTGGCAGCCTGGGTTCATGGGTTTGGACCCTGGGCACGGACCTGCACCACTCATCAGCCATGCTGTGGCAGCGACCCATATACAAAACAGAGGGAGACTGGCACAGATGTTAGCTCAGAGCTAATCTTCCTCAAGCTAAAAAAGAGGAAGATTGACACAGATGTTAGCTCAGGGGTAATCTTCCTCAAGCAAAAAAGAGGAAGATTGACACAGATGTTAGCTCAGGGGTAATCTTCCTCAAGCAAAGAAGAGGAAGATTGGCAACAGATGTTACCTCAGGGCAAACCTTCCTCAGCAAAAAAAAAGAGAGAGAGAGAGAGAGAGAGAGGATGGGTATCAGATTTTTCCTAGTGACAAAAATGTAAATAAACAATGGTAAAGTGCTTAAATTGAGAACTAAAAAAGGTGGAAGAAAATATTAAATACATTTAATTTTGTGATGGCATTGGAGAACTACCAAGGAAGTGAGAAACTGCAGCAATAAGATTAGAGATAAGACTTGACTTAACCTCTGGAATGTGGAACTATTTATTAAAGAGAGGTGTTTGTTAACTCTTAAAGCAAATACTGGGCAAGAGAGGCATAAGACAGTTTTTGATAAATTTATGGGACTAAAGAGAAAAATACTAGAATTAAGGTCCTTCCAAGGAGGGGCCTGATAAATCTCCCAAAGTCAGTCCTAAGTCTTAAGGGTATCCCCTAGGAATAAGAGTGAAAAAATAAATACAGACAAACCTTCATAGGGACTGAAGCCCAGTTTCAAATTATCTCAATACATGATTGGATGAAGGTAATCAGGGATTGCTAGTGTTCCTAGCCTAGTCACCTGTTAGAAGCAAAGGCAAATCCTCTCTGGAAGATATCATCCAGGTCATCTAGTTATCTCTACAATTTTTAATATATAGTGTCTGGTAGTTGATTTAAAATCACCACATATATGAGAAGACAGCACCAAAACCCAAGAGAAACAACCACCAAGAGAAAAAGGTCACCAGGGAATCTAGATAATGGGGCTATCTCTAGAAGAAGCAGAGCAAGATAATGAACCAGATGCATAATTTGAATAGATAACAGCTAGAAATTCCCCAGAACATGCACACACACACACACACACAAAAAACCCACTAAGCTACAGATTTTAAAAAAACACTGCAAACCCCCAAGCAGGATATATACATACAAAAAAAATACTGCAAATCCCCAAGAAGGATGTATACATACAAAATCACACATAGGCATATCATTGTCCAACTGTTGACAGTCTAAGATAAAGGCCTAAATTTTAAAGGAGTGAGGGAAAAGAAGGGGAAAAAAAGGACATTACTTTCAAAGGAAATTAGATTGAAAGCTTACTTTTCAACAAAACAATGGAAGACAAACCATAACAAAACATCCTCAAAATACTAATAGAAAATAACTGCCAACTGAGAATTCTATATTCAGTAAAAAATATCCTTCCTTCAAAAACGAAGGCAAAATAAAAACATTTTCCAACAAACAAAAAAAAATTTGTCACTAGCAAACAGACACTAAAAGAAATACTATAAAGCGTTCTTCAGTCAAAAGAAAAGTGATTTTAGAAGGAAACTTAAAGGGCAAGAAGGAACAAAGAAGCGATGAAAAGGTAAGTATGTGGACTAATCTAAATGAATACTGACTCTGGAACAATGACTGGCCACATCAACCACAGACAGAAGTCAAATGCATGACATCAATACCATACACATCAAGAAGGGAATACATGGAGTTAACGTTCTAAATCCTCGCCTTGTCCAGGAAGCAGTGTGAGTACTCATTTACACTAGCCTTCAGTAAGTGAAGCATGCATATTGTATTAACAGCTGACACAGTAAATTTTAAGGCAAAAAGCATCACTAGAGATAAAAAGGGACATATTTCATAATGATTAAGTTCCAATTAACCAGGAAGAGTATAAGAATTCTAAATTTGAATGTATGTTAACAACAAAGACTCAAAATATATAAAGCAAAAATTGGTAGATCTAAAGGAGACAAATTCACAATTATCCTGGAAGATTATAACACACTTCTTTCAGTATCTGATAGAATAAAAGACAAAAAAGTCTATAAGAATTTACAGGATTTGAAAAAACAATTAAATAAGATTAACTTGTAGAGATTGGGAGCGTATAGGAGTACTCTTCCAAATGTGCAACTATATTATATCTTCTAAGAAAACAAGCTCAAATGCAAGAAAATTGTGTCCCATAGCAACCTACCACGTAATGAATATGTAGAGAATGTATTAACAGAATTGGAAGGAAAGACTTCTAGGTTTTGAAACCCATTTTCATAATTTGTCTCTTTTTCAAAGAGAAATCAGTAAAAAGTATAGGTTTCTGTGGATGAGGCTGAGAACCCAAAGCACTGATATCTAGATTTGTGATCCGTAGCTGAGTTCCATGAGCTCAGGGCCAGTTCTAAGGTGACAAGTAGTCTACGGGGTTACTGCTTACATGACTGATCACTTTTGGGATACAGGCTGGGAGGACTTTATACCTCTTGGGTGAGAGTTACCTGCTGTCATGGCAGAGAATTAATAAGTGACAGAACATATTGGTTACCTAAAGATGCCTGTGAATATTCAGGTAAGCCTGTGGATCTGATTTGCCAATCTCAGAGTCCAGTTGTAAATTTAAAATTTTTTAATCCAAATTTCCACACACTGATACTATGAATAATAAATAATAGTGACTTCCCAAAGAAAAGGAGGAAAAAAAGTAGAGTCCTTTGTGTCTTTAATGTCAACTTTCACAAAAGCTTCTGGCTTCTCTTCATTATAGACCTGAATTGTCTATACTTTTGCCTTGATTTCAGTGTCCATAGGGTGCTTAGACAATGAAAAATTTTCTTAGCACTCTACTCATTAAGAAATCCCTTTGGTCAATATTGGATATTTTTGCTACCCAGGGCATGAAAAACTCAGCAGCCTTGAATTTATAAAGCTGCTTATCCAAAACAGGAAGCCAGAAAGATTGCCAAGGCATCTCCTTGCACATTTACTATTATTTGCAGGGGCTTGACAACCCCAGTATCTGTCAAGTAACCAAACATCACCATTACACAGTGCTTAAACACTTTCTCCCAAATATCTCCCCGTAAGTGTGACTGGACATTGGCTATGTGATCCAGATACTCATATGTCTGACTAGATAGAGGAAAGCTGGCTTTGGTTACCTCCTGCTCCTTAGTCAAGCTGTAGCCTCTCACAACTTTGTATCCCCACATCATGACTATGGCAGTGGGCACTCTACTTCCCCAGTATCAGATTTTTGATGTATACTGAGTTGTGGCTTCCAGTTTAAAGCTTTCCTAAAGTCACTGCATTTATAGGGTTTCTGTTTAGTATGAATTTTCTGGTGTTTAATAAGATTTGATCTGATGGTGAAGGCCTTCCCACATTCAGCACATATATATGGTTTCTCTCCTGTGTGAATTCGATGATGCTCATGGAGTTGTGACTTCTTAATGAAGGCCTTCCCACAGTCACTGCATTCATAGGGTTTCTCTCCAGTATGAATTCTCCGATGTCGATTTAAGTGTGACTTCTGGATGAAGGACTTCCCACATTCAGTACAAATATAGGGTTTCTCTCCTGTATGAATTCTCTGATGCATAATTAGTGTTGATTTTCTTGCAAAGGCTTTCCCACATTCACTGCACTCATAATGTCTTTCTCCAGTATGAGATTGCTGATGAATATGGAGGCCTGACTTCCGAGTGAAGGCTTTTCCACAGTCACTGCATTTATAGGGTTTCTCCCCAGTATGAATTTTCTGGTGTGTAAAGAGATTTGATCTGTCAGTGAAGGCCTTCCCACATTCAGCACATCTGTAGGGCTTCTCTCCTGTGTGAATTTGCTGATGCACATGGAGTTGTGACTTCTTCGTGAAGGACTTCCCACAATCACTGCATTCATAAGGCTTCTCTCCAGTGTGAATTCTCTCATGTGTAATAAAATGTGACTTGTGGAAGAAGGCCTTCCCACATTCAGTGCAAACATACGGTTTTTCTCCTCTATGAATTCTCTGGTGCATACTTAGTGTTGACTTCTGAATGAATGCTTTCCCACATTCACTGCATTCATAATGTCTCTCTCCAGTATGACATTTCTGATGTATCCTGAGCCGTGACTTCCAGGTGAATGATTTTCCACAGTCACTGCATTTATAGGGCTTCTCACCGGTATGAATTTTTTGGTGTTTAATGAGATTTGACCTGTCAGTAAAAGCCTTCCCACATTCAGTACATATATAGGGTCTCTCTCCAGTATGAATTTTCTGGTGTATAATGAGATTCGTCTTGTGAGTGAAGACCTTCCCACATTCTGAACATATGAAGGGATTCTCCCCTGTGTGAATTCGCTGATGCACATGGAGCTGTGACTTCTTTATAAAGGACTTACCACAGTCACTGCATTCATAAGGTTTCTCTCCAGTATGAATTCTCTCATGTGTAATAAAATGTGACTTCCGGATAAAGGCTTTGCCACATTCAGTACATACATAGGGTTTTTCTCCTGTATGAATTTTCTGATGCATACTTAGTGTTGACTTCCTTGTGAAGGCTTTCCCACATTCAGTACATCCAAAGTGCTTCTCTCCAGTATGAATTTTTTTTTTACATATATTGAGGTTTGAACTCTGAGAGATGTTTTTCCCACATCCACTGTATTCACAGGGTTTTTCTCCAGTAGGAATTCCCTGGCATCTGAAAAGATCTGACTTCTGGAAAAAAGCTTTTCCATATTTACTGCATTTATAATGATTCTCTTCAGTAAGATTTTTCTCATGGTTTGACTTGAGGGAAAAGTCCTTCTCATATCTAGTGCATATAAAGGGTTTCTCTCCTGTATAAACCTTCTGAGGTACAGCAAGTTGGGACTTCTGAGTGAAGACTATCTCACATTTGCTACATTCATGTTGTTTCTCTTCACTATAAATACTTTGATGTCCAAAGAGGTGTGACTTCTGGGTGAAAATTTGTACACAATCAGAAAATAAATAGAGGTTCTCTCCAGTATGAATTTTTTGATGTTGAACGAGAGCTTGCTTATGACTCCAAAGTTTCTTACATTGATTGCATTCACAAGCATTCATTTCTGTATGAGAATTCATATGAGTGAAAATATTACCATACGCAATAATCTCATCAAGATTTTCTGCTGCGTTGCTTTCATTATAATTACATAAGCTTAAAATAGGCTTCAAACTCTTTCCAAATGAGTCATAGTTATGGAGTTTTTTTCTTGAAGGAACAAGGTGTGTGTGTACAGGAACTATTTTCCCAATGTCCTTATATTCATAGTCCCTCTCATTAGCTAGTGTTTCCTTGTTGATGAAGGTGACATGACTTAAATATTTGTTCCAGTTTTCCTCATATCTCCCTATCTGTTCATTGTTTTGCCACAATTCTTCTAAAATGGAATATGGGTCATCTCTTGTGAAGAGATTAATTCTCTCAAACTGGATTGAAACTTCTTCAGACATTCCCTGTAGTGAAGTTTCAAAACCAATATTCCCATCTGAAAAAGAAAGAAAAAATAAAACACACCAAGAACAGTTAATAGAACGTAGAAAGAATGATACATAGAGTTGATTCAGGGTGAACATGGAGAAATGGGAGAGGCTCTATATAAATATAATAAGAAAGACATACAAATACATAAAACATACATAAATATATGTGTAGTAATCTCTTTATATACAATTATATATAGTAATAAAATGAATACTTATATTACATTTACCATATGATAAACAGTAGCATTTAAATGTGCCAAGCATTGTTCTAAGTTCTATCCTATCTCATTTAAACATCACAACCCTTTGCTGTTGGTATTATTATGGTCCCTATTTTACAGATGAGGAAACTGAGCCACAGAAGAGTTAAGTAATTTGCCCAAATGAAATGTTTAGTAACTGGGAAGGATAAGACTCAAACTGAAGCATGTCAGTTCTACATATGTAGCAGAACTACACAGTAAGGTGTCAGAAGAACAAAGTGACAAACTATGTGGCTTAAAGGAAGTATTTCTGTGTCTAGATTCTTATTGCCCTTCATCTATAAATTCTCACTGATCTCCCTGCCTTCTCTTTTCCCTATTAACCACTGTGCCCTAAATATAAATTTATATATAGTAAAATTGTTGTAGCCTCAGTCATCCTGATTTAGCCTAACAGAAAATGGACGTCTATGATTCAATTCTTGATCCTTGATTTGGGGTGCAGAGATACATGCATCTAATAGGAAGCATATAAAGGCAGAAAGGGCCAGCCATCTGAAGCAGAGACAAAGTTGTCCATCAAAATCTGTCCCTTCCTTCAATAGTATTAAGCTTGTAGCCAAGCATATGGCTGCCTCAGAACAATAGATCTGTCCAGCCTCATTTGACATTGGGTGAAGCCAAGTAATTCAGTTCTCACCAATCAAATGGGAGTAAAAATTATATTTGTTGTGACAAGGCCAATGTCTTAAGGAAGTGGGTGTGTCTCCCACAACCTTCCCACTGTCATATTCCAGACTTGCAGCACCTAGCTCTATGCAGCTGGCAATGCCCTAGGCAGAGGTCAGAAAACTATGGCCCTCAGGCTAAACCCAGGTCTCTACTCAAAAGCTAAGAATAGATTTTAAATTTTTGAATGGTTGAAAAAAATCAAAATAAGAATAATACTGCATGATACATGAAAATTATATGAAATTCAAATTTCCATGTCCATAAGGTTTTTACTGGAACACAGCCACACCCTTTCATTGACATACTGTCTACAGCTGCTCTAAGGCCACAACAGCAGAACTGAGTAGCTACGGCAGCAATCGTACGGCTCACAAAGCCTAAAATATTTACCTCTGGGCCTTTACAGAACATGTTTGCCAATGCATGCCCAGGGGATGATGGTGCAACAACTTTCTAGAAACGTTGTCCCTGAATAGCCATCAGGAGCAGAGTGGCCTGGCAGACCTGGACCACTCACCTTGGGACTGTCATGTGATGGGTCAGTGTTTATGTTCTCTAAGTCACTGTTTCTCGGGGTCTCTTAGTGACAGGAGATTGGCTTTACTCCAAGATACCATTCTTGCCCAGAATAAGAATCACTATTCCAAATTCTGGAATAGTGTATAAGATAGTAGATTCTCAGTAAATATGTATATAAAAAATAGATTACAAAACTCCCTTATACTACCAGAGTTCTTGAACACAGACACAAGTCTAACCTCATATCCATTTTATTCTGTCTCTAGAGCCTTGTCATGTCCCCAAACACATTCTTTAACTATTATATTACATTTTTACTCACACACCTTAACGGCTTTCATTCATCCTGAGGACATCTAATACTGGATTCCTAAACATGCATTTTGACCTTTTGCAAGCTTTCACTTTCTTTAGGATACAAACCAACTGCTATGTCTGACAACATTTACATTACTACCAATGTCGTTCAATGTAAAAAAATTTGCTCTTGTGTTAAAAAGTTTAATTACATATAATTTCTCTGTTATTGCTGATTCAATTACTCATTCAATAAAATACAGAGTCATAATTCAGGCCAATAAAATGTGTGTAAGCTATCTTTCCAATGGTCACTATGGTCTATTTTACTGCTGAATCCAAACATACATTCTTTTCCTTTTCCCCATTACACTTCCTTTTTCTGATCCTCTGTTCCTATGCAAAATTCATTGTTCTTCACAGATCATTTAGGGTTCTATGCTCTAAAAACTAATCTCAAATCTCAGCATAACTCTACAGAGGCCCTCTTTTCTTTTAACTTAAAGAAAAACAAAGACTAGATATTCTGAGCCACTCATATTCATACTTAATTGGCACAGACCTGCACCATAACTCATGCTTAATGCACAGAGGCTGAAATTTTAAAATTTCATGCAGTTATCTTCCCTTTCAATTACAATTATTGCCCTTTAAATTGCTTCTAGCAGAAAAATTTTAAAATCCTTCGGAAATAGAGAAAAATAACCTCCACTGCCTACTACATAAATTCAATAATTTAATTTTACTAAATATTCTCTACAGAAATATTTTTTAAAAACAGGGTTTGTAAAAGACTCAGTTATCACATAATTTAATGGTAGTTTTCTCTGAGTTTCTGTGGGATGGAAAACGAGAAAAGGGAAAAAGCAATGTATGCTTTAATTGTTAGGTCCAATTCAAGGAGTAAGTGACACCTGAGTACCAAGTATAAGTATGTATATTATCTGAATAGGCAGATAAATCACAAAATAATCAAAGGGTTAGATGCAGGAGGATCATTAAAGAAAAGGTTAAAATGAAGTAAATGTAATTATGGAAAGTAAACAGAGACAAATGTGAATTGCAAATATGAGGCACGTTCTCTTTGTAGCTTACAAACCCACTGAGAGAAGAATTTGTCATGTGTTAGATAATAGGTAGTAACTTTAGTTTTACTCCATATAGCTACGACAGGATAAACACAATGTTTTAAGCAATGAAATCTATCAGTAGCATCTAAGATGAATGAGCGGAAAAAAAAAAGAGATCAGCACATCCAAAGAGGGTTAGAATAATCCAGGCATGAGAAAATACAGACATGGTTTTAGGTGGTATCACTGGCAAGTAAGAGGAGGAGGGCATCTAAATGATATTTTCTAAAAGAAAAATTAGTAGAAAGAGCAGAAAGAATTGTTTGAGCAGCTGAGTCACAGGGAAAAGTCAAACTCCACAACAGAATATGACAAGATTTTGAAAGGTGAGCCATCTGCTCTTAGCAGAGCATTATGACAGCTCTTCCTCCACTGGTGGCCACCTGATGGGCCCTCATATGCCAAAGGTATCAGTGGTTCCCCTAAGAGCTCCACACAATGGGCCCAATGCCTGCTTGAGACACACAACCAACAGGGACAAGGTAAGACTCGTTCCCCTGAGCCAGGCACCAGTCACAACTTGTGCTGGAATTCAGACACACGATTCAATCTGAGACATGCAGAGGTCCAGGCCCAGATACACAGCCCAGGGCTACTTTAAGGAGGGCCCAATCCCTTACATCTGTCCCTAAATGTCAATTATAACTTCCAACTTCAGTTGGTTATATATATGACAGAGACTTGTAAGAGTCATCAAATGTAGCCTACAGCAGCACAGCTCCAAGTGTGTACTCGCCAGCAGGCAGTAGAGCCGGATAGCAAAAGAAGAAAGACCCCTATCATAGTGGTCATCGTCTAGACCTCCTGCTCCTGGCACCAACTGCTCAGTCATCTGCAGAGGAAAAATGGAGCCCCACTCCAAATTTGATTCCGATGTCAACAGTGATGACGCAACACACACCAAGAAAGTATGAAAAGGTTCATTACTCAATAAGGAGCTTTTAAAGGAGTGCTCCAAGCTGATCCAAAAGTGGCTTGAGAGAGCAAGAAAAGGAGATGGGCTTGGTTTTTTACTGTGTTTGGGGGTGGGGCCAGGCTGACTGTTCCCAGGCAACTTCCCGCCAGCACCAAAGGAGGGAGCACCTGGGCTTTCTTATCAGTTTGCCCAGATGTGGGGCAGAAGGCAAAGAGAGAGGGGTGAAGCTTCGAAGATGTCAGCAGTCAAACATCAGAAATGAAGTCAGAATCTATTACAAGACACATGATGAGATGTTTGAAATATTTTGTTATTAGAAAAACACAAATTAAAACAATACTTAGAAATTAAAATCCATTAGATTAGCCAAATTATTAGAAACATGGGCACGGATGTAGAGAAACTAGTACCTTTGTACACTCAGGGGATTGTAGAATGATACATCCAATCTAGGAAATAATGTGGTTATACTTAATTAAATCAAGTATTAGTGTATCCAGTGATAAAGCAATCCCACTACACTTCCCTGAGAAATTCTCATTTCCTACAAGAATATTGCATGAGGAAATTTCTTGCAGTACTGACTGTAGTAGCCAGGAACCTGGACAAGTAAAACGTGGTATATATCTACACTATGGAATGCTATGCATCAGTTAGAAGCATTGACCTAGAAAAACAGATAGCAATGTGAACCAATTTAGTGCTGAGAGAAAAAAAAAAAGAAACTGACTAGGATATATAGCACGGTACCATTTATAGAAATTAAAAAAACCAACAATTTAAATTTTACAACTACCCCACAAATTCAAGGATAGATAGCAAACATATCAAATATACTAGAGCAGCACCTCTGGGAATGATAAAAACAAGCATGAGGAGTGAGGATTAAAAGGGATCAATGAAGAAATAAGATAAGAAGGAGGGTTAAACACATTGATGATGATATTAACTACAAACTGAGGACTCATTAACTTTCCTGTACATAAGTTACAAAAACTTTTTATAACATATCAAAATAAATAAATTAGAAAGACCAAGTTAGTGTTGTGTTACACAAGCCAAGTAGGACAAAAATGTCAAGAAGCATAATTACTAACATCATATACAGCAAAAAGCTGTCTCCAGGGGCTGGCCCAGTGGCGTAGTGGTTAAATGCGCGCACTCCGCTTCAGCAGCCTGGGGTTCGCAGATTTGGATCCTGGGCGCAGACACACGTACCACTTATCAAGCCACGCTGTGGCAGCGTCCCACATATAAAGTAGAGGAAGATGGGCACAGATGTTAGCTCAGGGCTAATCTTCCTCACCAAAAAAAAAAAAAAAAAAAACCGTCTCCAAATGTAGATAGATACCTCAAGGGCAACAGTTGGAGGAGAGACACGGGAGAGGATAAAATGAAGCCCCCTCTAGATGACAAGTCTGAAGCACCAAGGGAACAGAGGGAAAATGAAAAGAAACCAGTAGGAGTGTGACCAAAGCTAACACTTTAAAAAGGCAAATTTAGGGGCCGGCCCCATGGTGTAGCGGTTAAGTGCGCACGCTTCACCGCTGGCGGCCCGGGTTCAGATCCTGGGGGCACACGGAGGCACCGCTTGTCAGGCCATGCTGTGGCGGTGTCCCACATAAAGTAGAGGGAGAGGAGAGCAGCACGGATGTTAGCTCAGGGCCAGTCTTCCTCAGCAAAAAGAGGAGGATTGGCATGGATGTTAGCTCAGGGCTGATTTTCCTCACCAAAAAAAAAAAAAAAAAAGGCAAATTTATGAGTGTATGTATGCATGAGAAAAGGATTTAAGACCTTGATGTGATGGAGGTAAAAAGAATAACAATGCTAGAGAAAGGGAGAAAAAGCAAAAAGCAGGATCCTAGATCCAAAGTATGAGTAATTGTAGTACATTCCCTCCTAAAAAGTCAAGGAAAGAAGACACTGATATGGGGAGAGTCATTTAGATATCCGAGGGACAAATATCAACGCATCCGTGCAGTTCCAAAAGTTAAGAATGTTACAGAAACATCCTATTAATAGCACTTTGAAGTTGTCAGCCTCTGCCAGCACAGCTGTTCTGTCTCCATGCTCTTGGTTCCCTACTCACCTAGACAGCCTTGACTTGAGATTTCACCATCCAACGGCTCTTCTCCATGCTCCAAGTTGAAAATGATTTCTGGTTTGGGAACTTGACACCCTATTAACAGGAAATGACAGAAGACTTGGTTTCAGAAGACTTGGCCGTACAATGAAGCACTCCATTTACTTTTTAGAAAAGTGCACGGGGAACACAGGTATATTCATAATACCCAGAGATGATTAAGAAGATAGGACAAAACTTCAGATGTCCTGCAGTCTTTACAAGTCCCACATACGTCAGAAATCCCACGGATTTCAAATCTTCTGAGAAAGAAGGTACACTCAATTAAGTACAGCCTTATACCCAGAAGAGCTGTGCTTACCCACTGAGATCAAGTTGAAATAGTTTTCCAGCATTACATCCCTGTACAGGCTTTTCTGAGCAAGGTCCAGTTGTTGCCACTCCTCCCTGCTGAAGTCTACAGTTACGTCCTTGAATGACACGGACCCCTGTAACAACACACTCCTATTCACTCCGAAGTATCAGGATTGCAAGATGGAAACAAGATATTTACGAACGAACTTTTAATAATTTTTAACAGGATACAACATATATGGTTCGCACTAGACACCTATATTTTACATTATTATTTTGAAGGAAAAAATAAATCTTATTTAAAATATCCTGCCATTATTTCTGTGGTACTAATAATATTCTGGTTTTTTGTTTTGTTTTTATCTGTGTGCTGGTTACAAAGGATAAGCTGTAAAAATTCATCAAGCTATATACACGATTTGTGTATTCTTTTCTATGTATGCCATATTTCATTAACATTTCACTTAAAAAAGAAAACATAGCAGCTGGCCCAGTGGTGCAAGCAGTTGCGCGCGCTCCATGTCGGCGGCCCGGGGTTCGCTGGTTCGGATCCCAGGTGCACACCGACGCACCACTTGTCAAGCCATGCTGTGGCAGCATCCCATATAAAGTAGAGGAAGATGGGCACGGATGTTAGCCCAGGGCCAGTCTTCCTCAGCAAAAAGAGGAGGATTGGCAGATGTTAGCTCACAAAAAAGAAAAAAAAAGAAAACATACTCTGCCATTCAGTTTGCACTCACCAATCCAGAGTAAATCAATTCTTTCTTTAAAAAAGATGATTAAAATAGGCTCTTTTTTCAAAACAATATGGTACTGACATAAGGATAGACATACAGGTCAATGGAATGTAATCAAGAATCCAGAAATAAACCCTCATACTTACAGTCGATTGATATTTGACATGGCTGCCAAAACAATTTAAAAGGGAAAAAATAGGGGCCAGCCTGGTGGCGCAAGTGGTTAAGTGCGTGCGCTCCGCTGCAGCAGCCCGGGGGTCGCTGGTTCGGATC